CGCACATAAGAAAGCAGTTGATGAGAGCCGGACGACATAAAAACCTATGAAATGTTGGGATAGTAACAACAAAGATGAGGACAATAATCGACATGCAAATAATGTCAATAAGAGATAGCCCCAAATTTCGAAGAGACACAATTTTTTTCTTTCTTTTTTGCTTCTTTCTTTTGTTTTTCTTGTGTCGTTTTTATTTTTATTTTTTAAAATTCTTTGTTTTTCTTGTTTTTTTTTAACCTCTTTTTTTTGTTTTTCTTGTTTCCTTTTTTACTTCTTTTTTTCTTTCTTTTTTATTGATTTCTTTTGTTTTTTCTTCATTCTTTTTACTTTCTTTTTTCTTCTTTTACTTCTTTCTTTTGTTTTGTGTCTTTCTTTTTTTTTACTTTTTTCTTTAATTCTTTCTTTTGCTTTCTTACGGTCTTACCTTTTTCTTTTTTAATCCTTCTTTCACTCCTTCCTTTTTTCTTTCTTTTTTTTAGGTCGTTCTTTTGTTTTTCTTTCTTTTTTACTTCTTTCTTTTGTTTTTCTTCTTTCTTTTTCGTTTCTTTCTTTTTCCCTTCTTTCTTTCTCTCTTTTTTACTTTTTTTATTATTTTCGTCTTTCTTATATACTTCCTTTTTTCTTCTTTTTTTGCTTCTTTCTTTTGTTTTTTTTCTTTCTTTTTTAATACTTCTTTCTTTACTTCTTTCATATATTTTTCTTTCTAACTTCTTTTTTCTTTTTTCCTCTTTTCTTTTTTCTTTCTTTTTTCTTTTTTCTTTCTTTTTTTACTTCTTCTTTTAATTCTTTTTTCTTTTTTTGTTTGACTTCGTTCTTTTGTTTTTCTTTCTGTTTTAACTTCTTTCTTTACTTCTTTCTTTTTCTATCTGTTTTCTTTCTTTCTTTTTTACTTTTTCTTTTTTACTTCTTCTTTTACTTCTTTTTTGTCTTTCATGTCTTTCTTCTTTCTTATCTTTTTCTTCTTTCTTACGTCATTCTTTCGTTTTTGCTTTTTTCTTTTTTCTTCTTTCTTTTGTTTTTTTTTTCGTTTTTTACTTCTTTCTTTTGTTTTTCTTCTTTCTTTTTCTTCCTATAACTCTTCTTTTTTTTTTTTCGTTTTCCTTAATTTCTAAATTTTTCCCTTCCTTTCTTTTCCTTCCTGAATTTCATTTTATGCTTTTTCTCTGGGATTCTTCCTACATTTCTGCTTCCTGAATTATCATTGCTTTTTCCCCCCACAAGCGTTATCGTAAAAATCTCACTATTTTTAGTTCAACTCTTTTAAGGACATAACTTCTGTTATTCAGCTTATATTTTTAATTTTTTTCTTCCTATTTCTCCGATTTTCTCTCACAATATTGGCAAGTTGATTGCAATGGATTTTATCGCTGTAGAAAAAAAAAAAGAGTGGCTTCAGAACTGTCCACTCTGGGCACCGCCTCAAGAAATATGCGCTCTGCGATAACATATTCTACATTGCTGTTGCTATCAAAATAGCAAATTTACCATCCGTCATTTTAGCTTACGGGAATATTATTATTATTATTATTATTATTATTATTTTAATAATAATAATAATAATAATAACTTACTAACATTTTTCTTTCTAATAATTAAAAAAATCAGCAGGCAAAGATATTTTATTTATAATACATGGAAGTTTAGCGACTGCCTTACTCGATTTTCGCCATACGGTGCCTCTGAAAAAATTACCGCGTCGCAATTGTTTCTCGGCCTTTTGGCTAAGATTCGATCACGGCTACTACTAGCTTGGACAGACTCGGGTCTGGACCAGCTACGACAAGCCAAGACCAGTTATGACTAGTTTAGACCAGCTCTGACCAGCTTGGACAAGCTACGACCAGCTAAGACCAGCTTGAACCAGCGGCCCGAGTGAAAACACTCGGGTCCCCACGTTAAAAACCGACCTTGTGTCACAACCTGACTCAGTGGGGGTCAAGCAAATAAACGGCTTTTGGCTAAAATCAAAGTGTAGTATCTGTGCTTTCCCATTTAATATGATTCTTTCTCTCACTCCTATTTCCCTTCCTTTTTTCATCTTCTTTCTAAAACCAAGTAGTACGTTTCAACGTTTTTTTCACACTGTCAAAATGGAATAGTCCATTTATTATGTGGTATTGGCAGGGCGTCACGGTCGTGCAGACTTAGGAAAAGAATTATAATAATAATAATAATAATAATAATTGGCACATGAGAACACCAACAGTACCTGTTGCTCTAGCTGCATGAGTTTAAGCGTGCTACTAGGATTGATTTGAAAAGATTCCAATAGACTCATTGAAGGGATTCCTGGAAGTCCATGCCTTAAAGAAATATAAAAAATTGTTCTTACAAGTACAGCCCACACCTTACGAAGGACTTTATCTATGGAAAATATGTATGCTGTTTTTCATTTTTGGAAAATGTCATGATGCAATTTCTGACCTTAGGTCTCTGGGCGAAACCCGGAAAGACATGAGTACACACCAGAAATCAAAGGAAATAAAATAATAATAATAATAATAATAATAATAATAATAATAATAATAATACATTCCTTGTGCAGACTGTGTAGAGAAAGCTAGCAAAAATGTGCAGCACATTGTCAGTGACTATATTCAGTTGGCGTAAAAACAGTGAAGTCTTCGCCATGAGAATGTAACACTTACACTGGGAAAGATACAGGAAGCTCGTCCTCCATCGAACAAAGACGTGATACGAGCATTCCCCACCGTCTGCAGACATGAATGAGCAAGGGAGGCTCATGTTTTTTACGACTAATAAGCGCTTGGAGAGCAATCGCCCCGACATCAAATATGTACACAAGAGAAGACGTTAATGGATCCTGATAGTGACATACCCTGGGATCATTTGTAAAGTCTGATTTTGTTTAGCGACATATCAACCTCTAGTGGTCATTTTTTTAAGCATTTCACTCCAAGCAAGACGGGAGATGAAAAAAATGGCAAAAAGTAAGAAAACGGGAACAATGAAAATAAAGAAGAAGAAAAGGAAATGAAACGGTATGGAAATGTAAGGAAAAAAATGGAAAGAAAACCGGAAGGGAAAACGTGGTATTAAAAGAAAAAGAATTATTGGAGAAACGAAGACAATGAAATATAAAAAGAAAGTGAAAAATAGTGAAAATGCTATAAAAAACGTCACAAAAATGCCCAGCGATTAATTGTTACTAATAACAATAAGCCCAGCTGTTAGTTTTATCTGGTAACTTTTTTTCCTGAAATTTTAAGCATTTTACCCCAAGCAAGACGGCAGTGCCACTAGCACGCAAGGGGTTTAAGAGAGTGAATGCAAGAGTAAAGAACGGTGTTTGAGGAAAAGACAATGAGAAGGACGAGGATCAAGATCAAGGAGTCAGAACATGTCGATTGACATTACATTTGAATATTTGAAGGTGATAGCTATCAGGGAAGCAAGTAAAAGGAAAAGGAGTTCCACTGTCGGAAGTGAGAACTGGTGACATCAGGAAGATCATTGAGGAAGATCTGAAACATTGTGGGACCCAGGATAGTGCGTTGGGGAACGTCAGTGTTCTTATGAAAGGAAATGAAGAAGAACCCGTTTAAGATGTCCATCACTTCACGGTGTAACAGGAATGATTGGATTAAAATAATCGTCATGTAATACCGTATCTCTGAAGCTTACGTAGAAGGCCGAGATAAGAAAGCCTGTCAAACGCTTTCGAGATATCTAGAGCAACACCTCGTGCTTTGCTGTTATTATCAAGAGCTTGGTTTACAAATTCAGTTATGGCTGTAAGCACGTCAGCGGTAGACCGGACAAAGCGGAAACCATATTGTTTGTCAGAAAGAAGATCATGGTTTAAGGTGATTAACTTTTTGGCATTGATTAATGCTTTGAAAATTTTGCCAAAAAGTTGTAGGAAACTGATAGGACGGTAATTAAATGGGTCAGAAGGGTCTCCAGAGTTTGTAGAAACAGGGACATCAGATGAGGACTTCCAACAGGCTAGAAAGCAAACGTTAGTGAAGCAGTAACATAATTTAGAGAGAACTGGAGCCAGCTCAGGGGCACATTTCTTTAAGACTACGGCAAGTATCCCGTCACCTCAACCTGTCTTATGAGAGTCTAATTTAGAGATTATGTCGAATACCATCGACGTGGTTATGCTCATCTCACTCAATAGAGACTCAGTTCTAGGGAAAAATTATGTGTAGGTACTCCGGACGAGTCGAGTATTGAGTTGGATGAGTATTTCCGAGCATTGCATTCAGCCTTATCTCGAGCTGATTGAATATAGGAGGGGTTATGGATTTGCTGTTGTTCATTAAATTCTTGAAGAACCGCCAACAATCTTTGGAACCAAACTTGCGAGATGCAATACGTTTTTTCATTCTATCAGCAAATAGTAACTTTGCCTCATTGTGGACACTCTTGCACTCATTACGAGCAGAGCGAAAGAGGCGTCTGTTGTAATCAGACTTGTCACTCCGATACAGACGGAAGAAGTGATTCCTATGGGCAATAGCAGCTGAGAACCAAGGAGATAAGTGCGATTTATCTTTGTTTTTTTCTTGCTGAAAGGAAAGCCTCGATGCCGGCTTTTACCCAGGAGGACACCTCAGGCGCACATTTTTGAACGGAGTGATTAAAAACCACATTCCAATGGATATCGCGAAGGAAATGACGAAACGAGTCTCAGCCTGCGTGTTAGCAACAGAAAGATATTCTGTTAGTAAGATGTTTAGTTAGAGAGGGAGTGGAAAGAGATGTCAATAGTCACTACGGTGTGATCAGAGTCGCCAAAAGGGCAGAGATTCGTAGCGCGACAAGTGTCAGGGATGGAGGTAAAACAGAGATCGAGAAGGGAAGCGTTACCCGTCAGTGTTACTGGGGAAATGTGCAAGAAATTCAGCCACTTGCGTGAGGGATTTAGTGATTAAAACTGTAATAACCAAAAAGAATTGAGTTATATATGACATAGAAGGAGAAGAATTTCCGTGTAAAAGACATTGGAATCAATTAAGACCCAGACTTACAACAGAGGTCGCGGAAAATACCGAAGACATTCCAATGGAAGTCTTGTATGACGTCTTTGAAATTCCCGTTCCAGTAAGTCAACATTCGCCAATGGAGGCATCCCCGACCTCAAGGCCAGAGGTACCAGTGTGTCAAACGCTACCAGTGCAAAGATGATTGAGGCGGAAAAAGGCTTAAGAAAAACGTTAATAGTCCAGACCCTAAAAAGAGAAAGTATTAAAGCTAAATTTCACGGGAAAATTTAGCTCAGCAGGAGGTGATATAATAGAATATGCGTACACCTGTGTTCCCTCTCACTGGATTATGATTGGCTGGTGTCCGTCATAAATACAGACGGGCGTGTAGATACGACAGAGCTTAAGTCTATGACGTCGCCCATTGGACTACGCCATTGGTTATCCTATTGGTCTACACCAATTACCTGCGACTACGACGAGTACCAGTCGATTACTGCCACCGTGTACTATTTGGTTATAGTAGCCAAAACGCACTTAGCTATTTCGATCAAATATATCCCTTTCCGGGAGATATTAGAAACGTTAAGGGTTTGCATGCCGGCGAGGTCAGTGACAGAGTGTTTAAGGCACATGGTATGGTGGGCGTTAACACAAATATGCCTGCAAACTAATGTATAGAGATGGCCTTGTTTATATTATCAGAAATGATACCGAGTACAACACAGATTGAGAGGAAGGATAACGATAGAGAAAGAAGAGATAGATTACTGAATTGAGGATATATATATATATATATATATATACGAATGGTCTGGAGATTCCAAAGAGACTTCCCTAGCAAGCAGGCGATGATCGCTGGCATAAACTCCCAGGCGATGCATGGGAATTTTAGAGTTCATTCTAAGGAAGGTAGCCAGGAATCAAGAAATCAGTGGAAGGGAATGATGAGTTAAGGTTAGTATCGCAGAGAGCTAGTATATCAGGAGACTTATCAGAGGAACGATTCCACATTGCAAAAGTTGGTACGAATACCACGGATGTTGGACAACGAAATTTTAAAATGTTTAGATGATTTTCTTTAAGCTGGTTTAGGTTTATATTTTCATTTATATTTAATATATATATATATATATGTGTGTGTGTGTGTGTGTGTGTGTGTGTGTGTGTGTGTGTAACAGCAAAATTGTTCAATTGTTAGATGCAGCTTTGAACTTTGTATCTCAGAAATGATTAAAGATATCTTACTGGAATTCTCTGACGTTTTTATAACACTATTAGAGTCTACTTTGAATAATAAGAATGTATTTAGCTCTAAGTTGAAATGATGATCCCTCTTCCTGCTGTGACCTCCTGAAACAGTTTACTTCTGTACTGTACCCTCGTTTTTAAACATATTCACAGTTCTCTTGATGGTTCTTGAATGAATTTTAAAGATTGAAGCCAGAGTATGAATCTTGGTACCATTACTGAAGGCCTGAATGATCTTTTTCCTCTCACCATTGCTTAGTTGGGAAGACATAGTGGGGATGACACAAAACGATTTTAATTTGTTCATTTTTTAGTTGAATATCTCAGTGATTCTTACAATAGTGTCAAGATGGCTAAACGTCTCTTCTGAAAATATGGGAAAAATTCCATTAGTCAAACATTTTGTGGGAAGGACAATTATCACATGCTGTTACGCGAATCGGTCAATTTTGCTGCTACACCCGGTATATATATTCAGATCTCAGATCACTACTCCAGTTTAACACTACCACAATCATCAGTCGGCCAAAAAATTTTTTTTTTTAATCATGTCACTGACAGAGGAATTGTTATGTCTTGCTCATTTAGTCATAAATCTGCACTGGATAATCTTTATTTAGTAGACATGGAAAAAGAATTAGAAAAATCCAGAAGCACGTGCGATACCCTACCCTGGATGGCTGCCAACCTGGGGAGGTAACAAAGTTTCGGTGGTTAAGGAAGTACTGCCACCCCTGGCGCTACCAGCAACTTTTACCACCGGTCAGGGTATTGTTTTTTTTTGTGTAGACGTGTCAGTGTCTTCGATTTTTTGGGTAACTGCAAGTCAAAGTGTCGACGTTGTGCTAAAAGCGTATCTTAAACGTAACATTTATTGTAGTGAAAAACAATACGCAAGATACAAAGCTTTTACCTTTTGCGAATGTTCTCTTAAGTATAGAATGATGAATGTAAGGTTTGCTTCCAAAAGGTCCGCCATGTGGCATCAAAATAGAGTCAGAGACGAACGCGCTTTGTCCGTTCACTTCTTGGAAACGAAAAGAGGCCAAGAGGACAACATTTCCCACTGAGAAGCAGGGAGACGGGTCACAATTGGACGCTTTTGCTATCAATCTGAAACTTCCATACGTGTAAGGATGGCCAGAAATCCAAATCCTACTGCTATGTGCGTTCTGGCCAGCGTATATACGCTAGAATGTATATGTGTGCTTGAGCGTGCATGTTAACCAACTACAATTTTCTTTTATACTTTTAGGTAGGTGTATCTCATATATATATATATATATATATATATATATATATATATATATATATATATATATATATAAAGGAAGAACAGTAAGATATATAATCCGGTGTTCTTAAATTCAAAATTCGCTTGAGGATGAAATGGAACTAATGTCTTCGTGGCTTTTAGCTTCCATTTTTTGAAACATGGTTAGAACTGTGTAGCGGAAAAAAACATATTTTAATTTTTTAATTTATATATATATATATATATATATATATATATATATATATATATATATATATGGTTGAGTGTCTCGTCTCGGACAACAAATGAGAACTCGGTAAAATAACAGCTGCTTAACTTTTATGGACATGCATGTGTCTCCTGTGGCCTGCAAGTCTTTTGCAAACAAATGAAACATCTGGTTTAGCCATTTTGCTCGAGTGGTGGAGGATTAATTGCCCCATGTTTCTACGATTGGAGAGCAACGCCTGCTATACTGCGTGCGCCAAAGCCCCAGTGGCAGGTAAGGCTATAATTGAGAGGAGCAGCATGCTGCCAACTTTCTTTGATATTTGATCCCGCAGTTGAACCTGATGTTCAAGATGGCTTCGCTCAAAATTTTGTATAGGCCAGCTCTTTAGCTTTGACGTTTTTTTCCTCAGCGTGAATAGAGGTTACTGTGGCCTCGCAACTAACCTGCTTGTTAAAATATGGCCAAAGACAAGTTGTTTTGGAAGTCTGCTATTGCTCATACGAGAAAGATGTCCTGCCCACCTGAGTTGGATTTTCATTAGGATGGCTTCAATACCTGTTATTTTGCATTTAGTCAGGACTTTATCATTTCTACTGTGATCACACAGTTTTCTGTTGCAGATGGTAAATAGGCAACGCACTTTTTTCCATATTATGCTCTGTGACTGTAACAAAAAATCTTTCAGATTTCGTTATGGTGAATTTAGCCTAAGTGATCAACCACGCTCAAGGCAAACTTCCGGTGTCGATGAAGACGTCCTCCTTAGAACTGTGGAGAATAAACCGTAGATTCCGACGGAAGGGACTGCTGAGAATTTGAAAATTGATATCGCAACTGTTTTTAACCATGTGTAAAGATTGGTGTTCAAGAGAAACAGTCGATTTTGACAAATGGTAAAGGGTGTCACATTCCACCGGGAAAACCCAAGACGACATCTGCCGAAACAGACCATGCGGAAGCCTATACATTGAAATGGGAAACTGCATCCACCTTATTCTCCTGACTTTGCCCAGTCAATTGAAAAGAACCTTACAACTTTCTCCCAATAAAAAACACGAATTTTTCAGAGAAAATGGCTGCCATAAGCTTGTAGAACGATGGGAGACTGTAGTTAAAAGCAACGCTAAGTATTTTTTGTGTGTGTCTAAAATTTTGTTTCTAATTTTTTAATCTTAATCTTTCTTTTCCTCCCCTCTCTTTTCTACTTCATCTTTTATATCGTTAACCCCCCCCTCTCTCTTTCTGGCTCTCTACTTTTTAGGGCACTCATGAGATGACATATTTCCTACCAAGATATTTACATCTACATTCTCTCATAAACAACTTTCTCGTATTTTTTAAACACTGAAAGATCGTAATATCTGCGGGAAAATTAAATAAAATCGATAAATAATACTGAATATTAATAATAAAAAGAAATACACGATGTTAAAAGCAAAGGAACCAGATTACTCCCACTTGGTTTCGTCAAACACTGTTAGGTGGTGCTTGTTAGTTGTATAAAATGACAAACATTTTCAGTCCTGATCTTCTTTCTCCTTTTTGCTCCAAGATTGACAACCACGTTTCCGCTGGGGATTGTTAGCTTCCTTGGTTAACTGCTAGAGGACTCTCTTTTCACTTTCCAACCCATGGCGTTTACACGTGGCTTCCAAAAAAACACCATCTATGGAATAAATCAAGGTTTTTCTTTGGCTGTTTCAACTCTGCGCAAGGCTGACTTAAAACAATGCTTATACTTACTTTCTCTTACTCGTGAACCAAAACGATAACAGAAATACCCGAAAGACATTAACAACGTTGTTCCACTACAATTTCTATATATATATAAAAAAGAGAAAATAAACCTTCACAGGATCAAACCAGTTTTTCTCGAATTTCAATTATTGTGGAGATGTTCTGACACTCTCAATATATATTAAAGGCAAGAAGGACAAAGAAAAACAGCGTGTAAGCTACCTAACGATCTTGGTTGGCAGAACACAGATGGGTAGAGATGGCGAAAAGACATTTGATTAAAGGCTACAAAGGACTGGTAGTTGTAGAGAGCCATGATCGCACAGTCCTAAGGGAACACTGCATGCAAGAAATATATATTTACAATCAGAAGACGACAATTTAAATTTCGAGGCCACATAATTAAGGCTCAGAAAATTTGGCACTCACAGGGAATATTGAAAGCTAGAGGGATAGATGAAAACAGCGCATAACTAAACTAACGAGCTTGGGTAAATGGTTGGCAGAACAGGAGCAGCGAGTGATTGAGAAAAGATAAACTTTACTAAGGACAGGAAGTTGAGGAGAGTCATGATCATCTAAGACTTGAATGGACATAGCACAAAAACAATAAGATGAGTAAACTGGCTGATGGTACAATAAATGTCCATATGACTGCAAAAATTACAATTAATTTAAAAAAGAATGTACACTGTTTTTCTTTTTTCTTATAATAAGAGGGTCGCCCAAAAAGTTATGAGTCTCACACAGAAAGAAAAACCATACCATTTCTTATAGAACTAGAACAACCAATTCAGATTTCTGTCTTTACTTCTGTATAGGGGACGCCCGTACAAAGGTGAGAGCTGTTTGACAAATCTAAAAATGGACAAAACACAGGACCGAACAGTCATAAAATATCTGCAAAATAAAGGTATAGCACCCAAGGAAATCCATGAGGATATGGTACAGACATTGTCGGGAACTCCCCTTCCTGTGGAATTGTGAAGAAGTGGTCTACGGAATTGAAGCGGAGCAGGGACATCACAGAAGATACCCTGGGTCAGGTCGTCCAATTGATGAATAAGTTGATGCCATTCACTGTATCATTTTGGATGACAGACGTCTTACTATCCAACAGACAGCTAAGTCTATAGGCTTTAGTTCTAGTAGGTCCATACTGTTTTAACTGAGATCTAGGGGATGAGCAAACTGCCAGGAAGATGGGCCCCAACGATGCTGACATAGATTAACATTTCCAGAACATTTCTAACTCACTTCCAGGCTGACCTTGAGAATTTCCATCGCAGATTAGTAATCCAAACTGAAACCATGGTTCGCCATTTCGAATCTGAATCAAAGATTCAAAGCAAACAATGAAAACACTGTTGTCCTTCACTCCGAAGACATCTGTTAGCAAGGTGATGGCTTTTGTTTAATCATGATAGACTACCTTGGAAAAGGGGAAACTATTAATGGCAAGTATTTGCCTCAGAATTAAGACAATTGAAGGAAGAAATTAAGTCGAAACGAAAAGGGAAACTGACAGCAGGTGTGCTCTCTCACCAAGATAAGACAACCTTTCACACTGCTCAGGTTGCAGTTTACGAAACAGGAAACTCTGGCTTTAAATTGTTACCTCATCCTCCTTACTCAACAATGTTAGCGCCATCTGAATTATTCCTGTTAAGCTCCAATCCCACCTGTTTGGTCGCCATTTTGGAAACAAAAATGAGATCATATGTACTGTGGAGGAATTTTTGAAGAACCAGGACGCCACCTTCTTCGGTGATGGGATTGCAATGCTTAGGCATCTTTCGGACGCATTGATGTCAAGGCAAAGTATATTAATAATAGTGAAAAAGTGTGTCGTTTCTTCAAATTCTTCTGGGTGAGGCTCAAAACTTTTTGAATGAGCCTCGTTTCAACTTTTACTTGTTTGTCAACATTTTATAGAAAATCACAGTCAGGCAACTTTACGGGGATGTGAAGGTGACTGAAGCCGAGACGTCAGATCAATACCAATGCTTATTCTTCTTTGGATCTTATCAAGTAGCTCAAGATAAATAGCAGGAGCACCGGACCAAATGTGACAGCAATATTCTGGGCGAGTGATATACTTATAGATATGCAAGATAGATTCTGGATAGAAAAATTGTCGAGTACGAAAAAAGTGAGCCAAATTTCTTAGCAGCTGACATAACAATAGATTCAATACTATCTTAGAAGCCGCCATATATATATATATATATATATATATATATATATATATATATATATATATATAGAGAGAGAGAGAGAGAGAGAGAGATAGATAATAACTAGACTCGTTTCGAAAAAACCCTCGAATTTTTGATTTGCTAATCAAATCAATCTCGAGGAAAAAAGGTTTTAAAAAAAGAAAGAGCTACAAACATGAACTTCTGCCGACAAAAAAAAATCGCACAGATGCAGGTCTGAAGCCCAAAGAAAAACCCCGATACGAGTAACAACTAACTAACAAAAAGAGCTCAATACAACCGTAGAGCAGACCTAGATACACCTAGTGAGCCAGACAAACCTACCTGGGTTTCACCTAAACGGATCGTCAGGGAAACTTTCCTGACGATCCGTTTAGGTGAAAAAGGTAGGTTTGTCTCTAGGTGTATATATATATCTATATATATATATATATATATATATATATATATATGTTCAGCTGCAGTAGCTGAATCAGTTTTAAATTGCTACCCCATCCCCCTTGCGCACCAGTCTTAGCTCCATCTGAATTCTTCTTTTTTTCTAAACTCAAATCCCATCTGCGTGGTTGCCATTTTGGAAACAATGATGAGATCATGTGTGCTGTAGAGGAGTTTTTCGAGGACCATGACGCCATCTTTTTCTGTGATGGGATTGCAATTCTTAAACTTCGTTGGACAAAGAGCATTGCTGTAAAAGTGACTATATAAAAAATAATGAAAAACTCCCTTTGGGTGAGACTTAGATCATTTAAACAACCGTAGGTAAAGTTTATTAAGCCAATCACCGTTTTCACAATAAAATAAAAAAAGAAGCTATTTTTCAAAAGTTTTTTCGTAATGGCTATATGCAAAATATATCTAGCCATATTAATATATATATATATATATATATATATATATATATATATATATATATATATATATGTTAATTTGTTATTGTGTGATGGATTTTATAATGAAAGCAATATAAGTGCAATATAAATCAAATATACTTGTTTAACAGATAAAAGGATAATTGTTCGTTTTATTGATTTACAAATTACTATGGCCTCTCTATGGCCTCTTGTACATTCTATAACATTCATGAGTCTTTTTATCATTGATTTTGTTAAATTTTGTACTGTTTCTATTACACTTCCCTCCTCGATATCTTCATTTGAATATTGATTTCCATTCTTAAACGCACGTCTTTTAATGTTACATGACAAGTTTTCTATTATATTAATGTGTTTTTTTGTGTAATTCCCCCCCCCCCCACAAGGCGATAATGCCACTTAGATGCAAGGGGCTACTGGGAGTGAAAGAGATTAGAAAGACTTTAGAAAAAAACCAGCAATGCAATTCTGGACTGAAAACAAGGGATAAGTTTCTGTCTTCTGTGAGATATTCGTTATTCATTCTTTTCGTTTTTTTGTCACTAAATCATTTCTCTTTTCTTTTTTTCTCTTAATTCCTTCATTATGGCTGTCTCTCTTTCTTTGTTTCTTTGTTTGTTTCTTTCTTTATCATAGTATTTTTCTTTCTTTCTTCATCATGCCTTTCCTTTATTTTCTCTTTATTTCTTCATCATAGGTTCCTTTCTTTCATTCTTTATTTATTATTTCTTTCTTTTTTTATCAGAGCTTTTCTTTCTTTCTTTATAATGGCTTTTCTTTCTTTCTTTCTTTCTTTTTTTCTTTTCCCTTAATTCGTTCATCATGGCTTTCCTTCTTTCTTTCTTTATCATGGCGTTCTTTCTTTCTTAGTATTTCTCACATTATCATGTCTTCTTTCTTTCTTTTCCCTTAATTCCTTCATCATGGCTTTCTTTATTTCTTTCTTTCTTTCTTTCTTTCTTTATAATGACATTTATTTCCTTCTTTTCCCTTACTTTCATCACCATGGCTTTCCATCTTTATTTCTTTCTTTATCATGGTTTTCATTCTTTCTTAGTATTTCTCGCTTCATAATGTCTTTTCTTTCTTTCTTTCTTTCTTTCTTTCTTTCTTTCTTTCTTTCTTTCTTTCTTTATAAGGGCTTTCTTTCTTTCTTAATATTTCTAAATTTATCATGTCTTTTCTTTCTTTCTTTCTTTCTTTCTTTCTTTTCCTTTCTTTCTTTCTTTCTTTCTAATGGATTCCCTTTCTTTCTTTTCCTTAATTCCTTCATCATGGCTTTTTTTTTCTTTCTTTTGCTTTCTTTCTTTTCTTTAATGACTTTCTTTCTTTCTCTTTTTTATCATGTCTTTTCTATCTATCTATCTATCTATCTATCTATCTATCTATCTATCTATCTATCTATCTTTCGAATTGATTCCCTTTCTTTCTTTTCCTTTAATTCGTTCATCATGGCTTTCCTTCTTTCTTTCTTTATCATGGCGTTCTTTCTTTCTTAGTATTTCTCACATTATCATGTCTTCTTTCTTTCTTTTCCCTTAATTCCTTCATCATGGCTTTCTTTATTTCTTTCTTTCTTTCTTTATAATGACATTTATTTCCTTCTTTTCCCTTACTTTCATCACCATGGCTTTCCATCTTTATTTCTTTCTTTATCATGGTTTTCATTCTTTCTTAGTATTTCTCGCTTCATAATGTCTTTTCTTTCTTTCTTTCTTTCTTTCTTTCTTTCTTTCTTTCTTTCTTTATAAGGGCTTTCTTTCTTTCTTAATATTTCTAAATTTATCATGTCTTTTCTTTCTTTCTTTCTTTCTTTCTTTCTTTCTTTCTTTCTAATGGATTCCCTTTCTTTTCCCTTAATTCCTTCATCATGGCTTTCTTTCTTTCTTTCTTTCTTTCTTTCTTTCTTTCTTTATAAGGGCTTTCTTTCTTTCTTAATATTTCTAACTTTATCATGTCTTTTCTTTCTTTCTTTCTTGCTTTCTTTCTTTATAATGACTTTCTTTCTTTCTCATTTTATCATGTCTTTTCTATCTATCTATCTATCTATCTATCTATCTATCTATCTATCTATCTATCTTTCTTTCTTTCGAATTGATTTCCTTTCTTTCTTTTCCCTTAATTCCTTCATCATGGCTTTCTTTCGTTCTTTCTTTCTTTCTTTATAAGGGCTTTCTTTCTTTCTTTCTTTCTTTCTTTCTTTCTTTCTTTCTTTCTTTCTTTATAAGGGCTTTCTTTCTTTCTTAATATTTCTAAATTTATCATGTCTTTTCTTTCTTTCTTTCTTTCTTTCTTTCTTTCTTTCTAATGGATTCCCTTTCTTTTCCCTTAATTCCTTCATCATGGCTTTCTTTCTTTCTTTCTTTCTTTCTTTCTTTCTTTATAAGGGCTTTCTTTCTTTCTTAATATTTCTAACTTTATCATGTCTTTTCTTTCTTTCTTCCTTGCTTTCTTTCTTTATAATGGCTTTCTTTCTTTCTCATTTTATCATGTCTTTTCTATCTTTCTTTCTTTCTCTATCAAGTATTTTTCCCCTCTTTCTTTCATTTGCCCATTCTCTCTCTCTCTCTCTCTCTCTCTCTCTATCTCAATACATTTAATCATACGCATCACCAGATATATTAAAGTTAGGCCAATAAACCTGAATGGTAATTCGTCTTCTTATTTCAACGCCAGCAAAAAAGTATCTTCGACTAAAGGGGAACAAAAAAGAAAAGAAAATTTACATCGGAAAGAAATGTTTGCAAGGAAGAAAACAAAACATTCAGAGCGTGGCTTATACAAATAAATAGATCAAACGATGCTGAAAAGCGTCTCTCAAAGTTAGCGTGTTAAGGGCGGGCAGTTCGTCATTCGTGGGATGGGATCGTCGGTTTCTACGCACCAGCAACAAATCCCGGCAATATATTTCTTTCGTTCGCAATTGAATAGTGTGACCTATCCTGTATTATGCACAAAATATGAACATCCCGTATATCAATACAAGCAAAAGAAATCGTTTTTATGGCCAAGTTTTCCTGTCAATAGAGGGATTCTGTTCAAATAAAAGAAAAAAAAATATGAAAAGTTATTTGAAGCAAAACAGGAAAGACTTAAGAGATATTAAAACACCACAATCCTAACAACATTAACCAACTTATATTTCTACTTCGAACTGAATATTTACTATATATATATATATATATATATATATATATATATATATATATATATATATAAAATATGAAGACAAAAAAATTATCTTGGCCGACAGGTTTCGTTCGCTGACGGACTTATTCAAGACAAATATAAGGATTTTATTTGGAAATAGTGTTTATAAACAAAAGTAAAAATATTTCAAATTCTTTAAATTGAAGATACATTCATAAATATTCAGCCCTCATCCTCGTTGTGGAAGGTGGAAACACACACACACATACATACACACACACACATACACACAACATATATGTATATGTGTGTGCGTGTGTGCGTGTGTGTGTATGTTTATGTGTGTGTGTTTGTAAGTGTATGTGTGTGTTCTTGAAAGTATGCGAATCAGAATTGTAAATTTCAGATGAACACGGCAATTCTGTCTTCGAAAATTATGAAAAAAAACAACACCCGGATGACGACATTGTGCTATGTCGAAATTGCTCTGAATAAATTATATGTATCAACACGGTAATTTTCTCTCTTCTTTTAATAATGACACTAAACACCTTGTCCATAAATATGGCAGGGTCCAATTGAAAATAAGTAAACAAAACTTGTCTAAATTATTCAATGAATCATGTCTCAATATATATATATATATATATATATATATATATATATATATATATATATATATATATTAACTTAACCGTTTAAATGTGTGAAAGTCTGGAGTTCCTCAAATAATTTTGAGTATAAAAGTATAGAAATTTTAAATTCCATCTAACTCACTCATTTCTTCTCTCTCGCCACTCACTTCGTTAATTTACATATGTTTAATACGGCCCGTCAAAAATGTGTAAATTTCTTTTCATGTTTTGTTCCAACATTTGGAAGTTAAGTCTAATGATCAGCAGTCCTTTAAAAGGGCTGTGGTGAAATAATTTATTACATGGAACCTTAAAGTGGTCTGTTTTTATTTTATATATATATAAACTTCTTCTCTTCACTATATATATATAAAACGTCTTGTCTTCACTATATATATATATATATATATATATATATATATATATATATATATATATAGTGAAGACAAGACGTTTTAACTACAAACCGACCTCAAGATTTTAGCTCAAATGTCTGAGTTAGACCTACCGAGCCCCCAAACATAGGGTAGACTACCAGTGGCCCAACATTTAGGCCTACTGGTAAGTGAAGCGAGGCAACATTATACGATAACATGTGCCAAAACTACATAAGGTCACACCTATTACCTGTATACTGAGCTACTAACTGTAATATATTTATACATGCGTTCTATAGCAAAGAATCTCCATCACTCACCGGTAAGTACCGTCTACTGTATCGGTATTACTTAGCGACCATTTACAATTCGTCAGGTTTCCTGATAAACATATAAATGTCAACATCAACTCCTATAAAATATTAATACCGTAGATTACACATCACACCAAGTAGGCTTTTTGATAGTACTGCTAGCTATCAATCATTCGCCATTTGCAACAATGATATAAACAAACGTGCGGTAAACTGCAAAACAGTCGGTTCATTACACAATCAGGTCAAACTTCCATTCTTTTAATCAGCCCCTATTACAATGGAGGGACCAAGAAGGCAGTTATTGGTAGTAAACGGGTGAGTAATTTGAGTATTCATGCATTTGATAGGCATTTACCCAGTTGTCCTATAACTACACAAAGTCACACCACTTACCGGTATATTGAGACACTAACCGTAATAGATTTATAGTGATTTTCTAAGCCCGGCTTACATGTGGCACAAGGCCGAAAGTGTGGAGCACCCAGTGAGGATCGAACTCACTACTCAGTCGTAAGTGATCTAGCCAGACAAGCTTTCTAACCATTACACCACGCCAAGGTGTCCAAATAGTGATTTTCTAAGCCAGGCTTTGATGTGGCACAAGGCCGAAAGTATGGGGCACCCAGTGAGGATCGAACTCACTACTCAGTCGTAATTGATCTAGCAAGACAAGCTTTCTAACCATAACACCACATTGAGGTGCCCAAACCATAATTTATTTATATATGCGTTTTATAGCAAACAAACTACAACATATACCGGTAGTTTCCATATATTGTATCGGTCTAACTTAGCGAACATTTAAAATTCGTCAGGTCTCTGATAAACACAAATGTCAACTCAATTAAAATCTCTCATAATATATATATATATATATATATATATATATATATATATATATATATATATATATATTAGCAGGATTTGAGATAATCATAATTAATTAACTCATCGAGTCTCGAAGAAACCTCAACAGAATGCACTGGACGGCTGTCTCGTCCTGTATTTGGGACTCATCAACATTGCCCATCCACTACCGAGAATCGAACCCGAACCGTTACGATATGAGACAAACATCATGCCAACTGTATCACTCCCCCGCCATTTGCATCAGCGATGTCAACAAACATGTGGTGAATTGTAAAACTGTCGGTCCATTACACTCTTGACATTCAGGTCAAACTCCCATTCTTTTAAAGAGCTCCTATTAAAATGGAAAGATCAAGAAGGCAGTTACCGATAACAACCAGGTAAATCATTCGAGTCATCATGCTTTTGGTAGGCATTTACCCAATTGTACATAAGATCTCACCACTTACCTGTATATTGAGACACTAACCACAATATATTTATATATGCGTTTTATAGCAAACAAACTAAAACATACCCCGATAGGTACCAACTATTGTATCGGTATAACTTAGCGAACATTTAAAATTCGTCTGGTCTCCTGATAAACGCATAAAAGTCAACGTCAGCTCCTATAAAATATTAATACCGTAGATTACACATCAAATCTGGTAGTTTTTTTAAATTTTTTTTATAGTGCTGCTACGTATCGTATGTTATTGTGAAACACATTATCACTCATCCGCCATTCGCATCTCAGTGGTGGACGCGATGTGTAGTGTAGCGTTAATAGAATAATTCATTTGTCTTACTATTTTATTATTTTATATTCATTTCTGTTATAATATGCTAAATATGTTGAGCAAACAAAAGTTTTAGTGGGATATATTTGAGAAACCTGCTGGAGATAGGGTAAATGTTGTCCAGTAATTCCTAGGAGAATTGTCACACTGGTTTACGATTCGGTGGTAAACGTTTGCAGTTTATACCCGCCATAAAAGTCGACCGTTAGTTTTGGAAAAAAAAACCTTGAAACCTCGATCTGTATGCCGCAACATATATATATATATATATATATATATATATATATATGAAGAAAAATATACGGAAAAAACAAACAAAAAATCCTAATATGCAATTATGCTGTTTTAATGTTAATAAAATGTCAACGTCGGACGTTTCGGTCTAGTAGACCATCTTCAGGACATATTCATAAAACATAATTAACATTAGACTATATTTAATTCAACATGAAAAGACGATGGACATAAGAGTAAGACTAATCAAAACAGATAACTGAAATTTTTCCAGATCAGCGTTCTGTTTCAATATGATCACGTCGGCGTCACGTGGGCGATGTTGTCCGACGTTGACATTATATTAACATTAAAACAGCATAATTGCATATTAGGATTTTTGTCTG